CAATTTTGAGAAGGGGGCTTCATTTAAGTCAACGCACCCATTGTGGAAGTATGTGGAGAATCCTTAAATAACCTCTGAATTTCTGTTTTAATGGGTCAGTTTTACTTGAATACAGAAAATTATTAATCCTGGTGATTAGGTTTTGAATGGAGATTTGGAACAGTGTTTAAAGACATCCAGCCAGAAACCCAGAGATGATGAGTCTAATCCTACCTTAGGCACAAAGCCGGCTGGACGACCTTGGGGCAGTCCCCCTCTTTCAGCCTTAGAAGGAAAAAGAAGGCAAAGGCAAATCGTTTTAAAAAGTTCCAAGAAAATTGAAGATTTGTCCATGTAGTCACCAGCAGTCAATACTGATTCGAAGGCACAAAATTATTTTCAAGGAAGGGGTCCCACTGCAACGGTCCTGTGGTCATAAATGGTCATAAATCACTGCTATTGTAACTTTGGACGGTCACTAAACTGTTGTCAATGGAGGACTGCCTGTATTTCTCAACCTCAGAGGCTTTAGGTTTAGCATGTGTAAACTTCAACTCCCAGAATTTCTCAGGAGGCATGCCTGGCTGGAGGATTCTGACAGCTGAAGTCAAACATCTTAAAAAATTGTAAGATTGAGGAGACACTGGTCTTTTGTAACATACTTACTAGATTTCTCAAATATGAGAATTTTGAAACCATTGTTTTACTTACGATCCAAACTTCATGTCCTTCAAATGCGATGGACCACCTTCCTTATTATCCACAATCAACCTAACACCAAACTGCCGCATTCTACAGAAAATACGTTTTCATGTTTTGTGTGCAGACATATCCAATATAAAACTGGCGATGAGGAGAGGGGCTAATTTCTGTGCAATAATAGGACAGGCATTTCGCATGAAACTACGTATTAGGCAAACCAACTAGAAATTAGGCTTTCAGGAAGGAAAGTCTTATATTGGCTATTAGGTCGCTTTCGTGCTTCCTGATTTATTATGCCAGCCTGGGCTCTACATCTCCGTAATTCAAGCTAGAGAGATTTACTCCGGCAGCAGTTTTTTCCACCAATCTTTTTTCTTCCAACACCCCACCCCCCTCAAAAATACCCTTCTGTAGCTGCTCCCAAATTTTAACTCCCTACAAGGGCTGATTAGAGAGTGAAACTTGCCCTCCCGGATGTGCTCGTTTCCAAATAGTATATTTGCACCAGAAAAACAAGCACCAACTCAGAAGCGGAGAGGCTTTGGTCTGGGTGGCCTGCGGCTGTCGCCTTTTCTTCCTGTCTTGCGCCCGCCCGCTCTCCGGCTGCCGCAGCCACTTGCCTTAGCCGCAGCAGCAATTCTCTTCCCGCGTTGAAGTGACGTGGGCGGTGGGGAGGGCGGCCTTGGAGCGACAGCGGCGCAAGATGGCGGCCACCACGGGCTCGGGTGAGCGGGGACCGGTAGTCCAGGCCAGCTTGGCCCGTGAGAGGAAGGCGCTCCTCGGCGGGGAGGGAAAGGGGGTTGGCAGCTCTGGCGGGGCTGGCTTCTCCTGGGAGAGGGGGACTCAGAAGGCGTCCCCGCGGGCTCCCAACCAGCCGGGCTCGCCGGCTGGGTGTGTCTGGGGCCCGAGGGTCATGCTGCCGTATATGGGCTGGAACCCATCTAGGCGACCGGCAGGGTGCTAGCAAGGAGAGACAAGGAAGTATTGAATCTTTACCTCCATCTAGTGGCCGGCCGTGTTTTGACAGCCCAGGCGCGGGAGCCGTAGCGAGGGGCGGTGGCCTGGGGAGTCAGTATCCCCGAGGAATGGGTGAAGGGGCGATTTGGTTGAGGCTGGGCTAGAAGGGGGCGAGCAGCCTGTTGGTGTGGCAGGAGAGCCCATGGTGGGGGGGAGATGGAAGGGAAGGGAGAGGGACTGTTGGTAAAGGAACGATCAGAGGTGGAGAGAGTCTAAGGCAGGGGTAGTCAACCTTGGCTCTTTTATGACTCGTGGACTTCAACTCCCAGAATTCCTGAGCCAGCTAAGCTGGCTCAGGAATTCTGGGAATTGAAGTCCACGAGTCATAAAAGAGCCAAGGTTGACTACCCCTGGTCTAAGGAAACCTTCTAGGGAGACTTGACAGGTTCCTTTAGGTGTAGAGCTGGTGGGTTTCAACTCCCATCATCCCCTGCTATATGGATGATGGGAATTGGAGCTTGCCCATTTTACACCAGAAATTAGAAAAAGCAAATGGTTGGGATGCGGGAGGAAATGTATATAATAACTCTGGCAGCTTTTTGGAACTTCCACGTTCAGAAGCAGTGCATCTTGAAGGGTGGAGGATAAGGCCCAGATAATTGCCAGAGGGCTGTTTGCCTTCTGTGCCTTTTGATCATTGAACCCTGAGTTGCATATATTCTCCACTGACATTACTTGAATGGTTTTTGAAGTTCAAGTCCTAATTGAAGGTATAAGAACGTCCATTTAGGTAAACGTTTAGTAAGATCTTTGTAGGTTCCACTAGTAGGAAGTTACTTTTTATTGTGAGCCCAATACACTCTGTCATTCCCAGCATCATAGAATCTCAGTTACCCTGAGGTAAGATGGGCAGCCAATAAATTTTATAAATAAATCCTGAACGTTGTCCATGGGGTCGCGATGGGTCGGACACGACTTCGCAATTAACAACAACAACAACAACAATACCAAATATGATTGGGGGTGTGTGGCTGAAGGCTAAAACATATGAAGAATAATTGCAGGAATTGGGTATGTAGTCTAGTGAAAAGAACTATGGGCGACATGATAGCAATGTTCCAATATTTGAAGGGCTGCCACAAAGAAGAGGGGGTCAACCTATTCTCCAAAGCACCTGAAAGCAAGACAAGCAATGGATGGAAAGTGAACAAAGAGAGAAGCAACCTAGAACTAAGGAGAAATTTCCTGACAGTAAGAACAATCAACCAGTGGAACAGCTTGCCTTCAGAAGTTGTGGGTGCTCCAACACTGGAGGCTTTTAAGAAGGGATTGGACAACCATTTGTCTAAAATAGTATAGGGTCTCCTGCTTAAGCAGGGGGTTGGGTTAGAAGACCTCCAAGATCCTTTCAAACTCGTTATTCTGTATTTTGCAAAAGTGATGATTCCCTAAAACAATCCAATGTTTTAGACGTGAATTATACATGTTTGTTATTTGACAGATCTATGATTGAAGAGATGATTGCTGAGGGAACCTTGTAGCTGGATAGGATTTCGACCTTGGTTGTCTGTGTTCAAGCCAAGTTTTTAAATACTACTGTTTGCTTTCAGTTGGTTTTAAGAAGACTGTTCAGTCTTTGCTGGCTTGTTGTAAGCAACAGAGATTATGAGGACAATCTGGAGACTGTTGAGGTGTTTACAGACAAGATTTCTATTCTGCAACTGCTTATTACCATTCACTGAATTTGATGAGAGTTCAAATAACATTATATTCCAATTATAACTTGTGACTTCCCCATAGCTTTTCCTGTCTCGGTTTATTATCAGAGAAAATGTAGAGAAAAAGAAGAAGTAGCTAACTGATATATTTTGCATATAAGCCACATGGTGGGGTGGTTCCTAGCTTGATTAGGAAAGGATTGTCTCTGGGGAAAGTAATTGCTCAGGTGGGTAGATACTACTGGTAACAAATTTATTTGTGTAGAAATTTTTTCCCAATTCAAAATTTTCCAGGAAACCTACATCTTTGTCTACAGCACAAAGTTGTAAACATTATTGCCAGAAGTTGTAGTGATGGCTTAAAAGGATATTAGGCAAATAAATGGAGGAAATTGTCCAGTATGTCTGGAGATTCGGATTTGGACAGCATTGATGTAGATCACATGATATTCTTAATAATTCTTAATAGGGTCTCAATGAGTTAATAATGGGTTCAGAAAGGGCTGATGCCAAATAAAATGTTGAAAAACTTGTTCTACATAATACTTCATAAGAGTGAGTAACAATTTTTTTTTTTGCCAAATTAAAAGCTTCCATCCCTAAAATGGAATTTCCTTTCTGTTGAAAAAGTGACCAAAGAGGTTTGGGTGTTGAGAGCTCTCTATGGAGATAATTGTTTCAAATGAGAGGGTAAAGAATAAATATATTTCTAAAGCAAACATTTTTAGTAAAAAAGCATTCTGTGGCAACCCAATATCTTTGTCCTGATGTCTATATAAGTGAAGTGATAAGAAATGCTAACATATTAATTATGCAGTCCTATGAATGTTGATTCATAAATCCTATTTATTGACAATTATTTTTGTGAAAGTTCACAATGACTCCAGCCTAATAAAGACATCCTTTATTCATCAACATTAATATAGATAACTGGCTTCTATGAGATTAGACTACTGTACTTGTCCATTTAGGTTAAGATTAAATATTCTAATTAATTGATTGTCCTTAGAGTCTAAAGTGTTTATTTACTATCTGATCCAGCTGGAATCTCTCTGTACAAGAAAGGTGCCAAATCACCAAGCTGTAATTTATCCAGTAGCTTGCCTATGCTGGGGCAGTAGAGGAAAGAAGCATCTTTTAGGGTAGGAATCTGATCTACTGTATCTTTAGAGGAAGTAGCTATTTCTTGGTCTTCATTTTGGAGAAAATGATTGGTCATAGACTGAAACACATCACATAAATTGGAAGAGAAAGAATATCTAGGTCACATTTGCTAATGATATGCATGTACCCAGTAGAACAGGTAACAAATCTTTCACTTGAGTTCATAAAAATTATTCTCTTTCCTGCATTTTAGTTTTCAGTTTGAAATTTATATAGAAGAAATTAAGTCTAACTGGTAATTATTTTGGTTTATAAAACTGCTCTTTATAGTCTATTTAGTGATAATTTTAAATAAAAATCAAAAGATAAGTACATTGCATTTAATGCTGATTTAACCGCTTTGTTGTCAAAGCAGTTTTGGGCCACTTTAGATTTTCTTTTCCCCCTGACATGAAGGAAATCAAGAATTGTCTCATCCTGTATTTTGATAGTGGTAATGGGGTGATGCCTGACATCTTTGTTATTTGATTGTATTTATAGTGGACCTGTTGAACAATACAGCAAAGACCAATCTGGATATCAGTGAACATTCCTGCTTCCAACTATTGGCTTACCTTGTCCCCAACAACCCAGCCAGAAAATAGTCATCCATGGTTTGGTTTAAATGTAATGTGTCTGATTGAAGCTGACCAATTGATTTGATATAGCTATCTTTGCATTGCTTGTATCTGATAAGTCATGCTTAGGATGTATGTTATCCAAATGCATGAAGTTTTTAATTCGTTTCAAAATCATTTTGTTATATCACTGAATGTAATGTATTCCTGAACACAACCAAAATGGTTGTTCTTTAGTTTTACAATAAAATACTATTCTTCAGAGTTCACTAGAATAGTATGTTCAAATGCTTCTTTGGCTTATGCACTACTCTGAAGTTGTATTTGCACACTGTTTGATAATCCAAAACCCCACTGACAAAGGAAGTAGCATACCATCCTAAACCTGTATGAACTTGTCTGAATGCTAAGATTAGCTTTGGAAGCCTTCTCTCATGTGCCTGCCAATTAGATCTGTCAGATGAGTAGGGACAAAAGACAGGATCTGCCATCCCCTTAATTTGTTCTCAATCCTTGGAGGTTTTATTCCACTGTTTTCTCTGTTATATTTTAACACTTAATTATTATTTTTATTTGTATCATGTTTTTAGTTTGTTGTATTCTATACTTTTATTTTGTAAACTGCTTTGAGAATATTATCTTTTAAAAGGGTATAAAATTGTAATTATAATAAAGTTACATGATCGTATAGATATTTATTACATTTGCATCTTCTTTTCATGGATTTAATTCCTTCTATCATAATTCTTGAGAAAGAGATAAAATGAGATGCTGTTAATGGCCAAAGATATGCTGTTTTTTTAAATTCAGATCCAGCATTTTAACCACTGTATCACATTGTTTCTCAGGTTTCCCTGTCTGAGCAGATAATTCTGTTCAACAAAAATATATAGCAGCAATAGCAACAATTTTTGAATTAGGAAATGAAAAATTTTAAGTTAATTCATAATACTACTGTTGTTAGTATCAGCATTCTTTTTAGAAGTTTGGAAGTAGTTCCATTGTTCTGGTCAGATGTCCTGCTTGGAAGTTGTATTTTAGAAATCTTTCTACAAACCTACTGTTTCAACAGCCACATTTGAAACACTGAGATCTTTATTTTCGACCTTTGTACCAGCATATTGGACTTTGTTCTTGATACAACAACTTTGCATTACTGGCCTAAAGCTATAAGATGTGGCAGTGCTCTATACACTATCTTGGATACTGATTTATGATGCAGAAAGACTTGAGTTTGGTCTGTTTCATAAAATATTCTGATATGGGAATCCCTTCCATCTTGTGAAGGGTTGATTGATTAATTGATTACGTGCAATCAAGTAGGGATCAACTCTTAGAAATCCATAGATAGATTTTCTCTATGGCAGTCTGTCCCTGACCTAGTCCTCTATTGCTTCCAGCTGCGCACCCATTGCCAGTGTAACTGAGTCCACCTACCTTATTGCTGGTTTTCCTTCTTCTTTCTCATTCCACTTTTCCCAGCATTTGAGGCTTCTATAGGGAGCTCCAGGCCTTTGGATAATGGGTAATTTTATCCTGGTCATTTGTGCCTTGAGTGGGAACTCTGGGTCCATTTGTTTGATGATTTGTTGGGTTTTGTTTGTTTTTGGTTTGTTTGTTTTGGGGTTTTTTTTTTTTGGCTTTTCACAGTTTTCTCAGGAATTTTCTTCAACACCAAAGCATCAAGATTCTTCATATCTTGCTTCTTCAAAGCTAATTTTTATTTACACCGATTATCACAGGAAACACCATGGCTTGCACAATTCTGATCTCTTTAGATATAGATATTATAGAATCTGAATATATTTTCCAAGGTCTTCATGGCTGCTCTACGAAGTTCTAGCCTGCAATGTATTTCTTGATGTATTTAATGTTGATGGTTGATCATAAAAGGCAGAAAGTATCCATCTTCATTACCAATTCTAAGACTGGTTGTTCTACCTGTTGTCATTTAGTCTTCTTTATATTTAATCTTAGTCACATTTATTCACTGTGATCCTTGACTTTCATTAATAGAGCTTGCAGATCCTATGCATTTTCAGCTATCAGAGTAGTACAGCTTATTAATGTTTATTCCTTCAATTTAAAAACCCTACAGGTAAACCTAAAAATACAGCCATTCATTTGGCTACTGTTTGAAGTTACAGTGCATTGAAAAAAGTGGCTTAAAAAGTGTAAGGATCCTTAAAAGGTATAAGGATCTATTGCAATGTTTCTCAACCTTAGCGATTTTCAGATATGCAGACTTCCAGCGCCTAGAATTCCCCCAGCCATCCAGCCAGCTGGGGAATTCTGGGAGTTGAAGTCCGCACATCTGAAAGTTGCTAAGGTTGAGAAACACTGCAATAGATCCTTACATTTAGGACTCTTGCAGCATTCCCAGTGTCACCTGATCAGCGTTCAGGCACTTGGCAACCAGCATGTATTTCTGACAGTTCCTTCCTTTACTTAACTGCAGTGATTCACTTAACAACCATGGCAAAAAGGTTGTAAAATCAGGCATGATTCACTTAACAACAGCCTTGCTTAGCAATAGGAATTCTGGTCGTAATTGTAGTCTTAAGTCGAGGACTACCTATTTTTTTTTTCAAATTTTACTTCCATTAATACATATTCAGCATATAGTTTGAATAAATAAGAGGAGAGCACACGGCCTTGTCCCACTCCTGTGCCATCCCAGAGCTAATCTGTTTTGTCATGCTCTGTCCTCCTATGGATTTCTGACCAGCATATAGGTTTTGCATGAGAACAGTGAAATATTCTGAATTTTTCTAAAGGACATTCCACAATTTGACATCATCAACACAAACCAAAGCCTTTCTATAATCAACAAAATATTTATTTGACCTTTTTTTTGTATTCTTGACTTTTTCAATTATCCAGGGTGTATCAGCAATAATGTCTCATGTTCTTTGGTCTTTTCTAAAACCAGATTAAATGCCTGGTTTCTCTTTTTCCACATGGGCCTCTAATGTGTGTTGGATGATCCTAAGCTTTATTTTGCCAGCATGTGAAGCATACCCTGTTGTGTCTCTTTTTTTGGTATTGGGATGTAAATTGACTTTTTCCAATTGGCTGGCCACTGTCTTGTTCTACAGATTTGGTGGCATAGCTTCGTTAGGACCTTTATTGATTCTTCTATTGCTTGCTACATTTCTTTGGGTATTCCATCAGTTCCTGTAGCCTTCTTACTTGATAATAACCAGAGTGCTGATCTAATTTTATCTTTTAGTATTAGAAGTTCTTGTAAGTAGGGAATATCTTTTAAGGTATTTTGGATGTTGACATCTTTATAGTATTTCAGAATACTCCATCCATCTTTGATCTGTTTTGAATTAGATACTCTGTCCATTGGTGTCCATACCAATTCAAAAATGGAATTTCCTTCTGAATTCACAGATCTTTCAGAAAATTTTCTTTGTTTTTCCATATCTGTTTCCATTTTCAGTGTCTTTACAGATTTTGTTGCAATAATATACTTGATTCTTGTCCTTTGTCACAGCTTTCTGGAACTCTTTTTCAGTTCCTTTTCGAAATTTTTGTCTTTCTCTTTTCTTCTTGGCAATTTCCACAGTTTATTTTGATACCCAGATTGTTTTCTTCTGCTTTTGGGTTTTTGGCATTCTATTTCCATATTAATCTTTAACAACTTCTTTAAGTTCATTCCACACTTCCTGTGATTCTCTACTAATTAAATTCAAGACTTCAAAGTGCTCCCTGGTGTTCTTTTAAAAATGGTGGATATATGCTCAAGATCATGTTGTGGAAACTGGTTGGCTTTCTTCTTTAACTTAACTGGAACTGGCACATAACAAGTTAATGATCTGTTCCACAGTCAGCACCTGGCTATGTCTTTGATGCTGTAGATGAGCTTCTTTAGTAATAATGTTGTCTGATTTCTGTGTACTCCATCTGGTGATGTCCATGCATACAGATAGATCATTTTGGTTGTTTGACTACAGAGCTAGCTATGAAAAAAACGTAACAGGAGTTATGAAATAAAGAAGTCATTCTGCTTCATTTCAGGTTCCTAAGCCAATTCAATCCATCTATAATATTTTCAGCTGCTGATTTGCAGTTTCAATTTGAGGGGAACAATAAGGCAAATTATTGTTTAGTCACAACTGAGACCAGCAACTTGGTTGTTAAGGGACAGAGCGCTCACTAGGTGAAACTATGATTGTGCTTATGATCACACTTCAGCTTCCCTTCACTGACTTGTGAAGGCCGTGAATGCCAGGCTTGGTCACGAGGTTACTTTTCATTCCCATTGTAACTGCAGTTGCTATCCAAAGCAGTTGCTAAACAAGGATTACCTGTACCATTTAGGAATTCCTTTAAGAGCCTATGCTGAGAGGAGCTATAGACACCGTTATCAACATTTTTCAAACAAACATCTATCTTGCTATATCAGTCTCTGCATATTAAAATGGTATGGATAGAGAGTTGTAGAGCACACCTGATTGCTAGTTTCTCTGGTTAGATTAGAAACATAAAAAACTGACTGCAGGAAAAAAAACCCTAATGGTCCATCGAGTCTGCCCTTTTTTGTTTCTTTTTAAATATTTTTATTATTTTCATATTTTATTTCAATTTTATTTTATTTTAATTTTTAATTTTTGACAGATATTGTTTGTTGCGCAGTTTTTTTCTTACAATGGTAAAAATAGGGATCCATTCTTTTCAGGGATTTTTTTATATAAAAGAATAATTTCTACAATGATGTAGATACTTATTCTATTCGCAGTTAGAAAATAAATAATAGTGAGCAGGCTAACAGTCTCGGAGTTAATTACCACAAGTTAATTGTGGATTTCTGACGATCACTCAGATTAAGATGTGGGTGTTCTATTATCCTTTGTCATAATTTTCATTTTGTTTTACTTTTGTTTTGCTTTCCCTCCTTTCTGCGTTATACAAAGCCCAGGACAGGTGTAATGTAAAGTCCCCTTTTGTTTCTTTTGCTGTCTCTTTGTTGGAACAGCAAATGTCAAACATTGTAGCAGCAATAGATCTGTGGTCAAATCACTGACATTTTTCAGCTAGTTT